TTATGAAAGATTTTATTGAAATAAAACAAAATGCTAATGGAAGAAGTTTTTGTTCGAAACTTGACATTATGCTAAAAGAACAAGAAGAACTTACTAATGCTCCAAATGACATAGATTCGAATCTACAAAAAAGATTTGAATATGACGTCACACCCTTTTCAGATCCTTTTCCAGATTCTCCATCAGTTTAAGAATATTATGAGCTAAAAGTGCATAGTTAAAAGCATAAAAATCAATCAAATAGTAAAATCCACAAGGTTTCGGGTGGTCCGTCAAAAATAAGGACACATAACACTAAAACGCTTCCAGGAAGAAATATTGCAGGTTTAGCAGTTTGTTTGAATGCTCTTTCCGATGGCATATAAATACGAAAGAAATGTTGACTGGAGCCTGTCCCTTTCAGACCGAGATCGATTTGCTGCTGAAACCTCTGTTTGGTTGCATTGATTGTGGCTGATTTTTGAACACCTCGTTGAATTTTCCTTTTAATGCCAAATAGTTCATTATGTAGAGAATTACCTGCTCTAAAAACTAAGCTTGTTGAATAGTTGGGACGACTTGATTTGGCTCTGTCAAAGCACCTTTAACGAAAGAAAATGAGTTTTCTGGCTTTCGAAATTCCAATATACTGAATTTTTTCCACTACTAGATTTCAAGCATAACACTTGAAAAATAGCTGGTTCAGTGCAGTTTTTTTCAGCTCTTTCGACTGGTATATAACTCAAAATTATAGAATCTTGAACGACAGGAAAAAATTAAAATACAAAAGCATGCGATTTCAAGCGATTTTTTTGAGCATCTTTTGCAAGGCTTCTCCTAAAAATTTCATAAACTGGTCAGAAAATGTTTCTAAGTTTAAAAATTCGCATGGATTATGTTCCACGGAGAATCAAATGAACATGATTAGAGATAAAGCTTTTATTTCACCCGATAGTCGAGTTTGTCAACGGCAGTATGGACTGTCTCTTAAGGAGTGATTGACAATAGTTGTTCAATCATGAACAGGAGTGAGTAAAACCAATTTATGCCAATATTTGCAGCAATTTACAGCTGGTATCAGTTAGTAAACTGAAGCTCTTCACAAAAGATTATTGCTAATGGAATTTGCGAATGATTTGTTCCAAAGTCATCGTTCTCAATACCAATTATTCTACTCTAGGCATATCAAAGCGCTGGTATCTAGGTCATGTTTGTGATCTTAATTTTCATAATTATTATTATTATTATCCACCGATGTTCTCGACGTGGTAGACGACGCCCTTACGTTCTTTTATTGATCAATTATTTCGCAGAAATGGTCACCCAAGTGCGATTGAATATTAACAGCCGATTCGTGAATGAAACCTCACAATTACTGAAATTTATCTAGATCATTGAAGACGACATATTAGTCTACCGTTTTTAATGACATTACCTTTTTATTTCCACATGTATAAAGTGAAAGTAGATCACGCATTAGCGCAAAATCGACTTTTTATACGGGGAACAGAATCGGTTCAAATTTCGTCGATTCACATAATAAGGTTTTCAGAAAAAAAATTTGAACCGATTCTGTTCCCCGTATAAAAAGTCGGTTTTGTGCTAATGGAATAACTAAAATAGCAGCTGTTTTCTCATATGATAGTTTCTTTAATTCTTTTCAATAAAGAAAAATGTGTTCAAATCTTAATAATATCAGATCTTGGTTAGCTGTTTGCAATTCAAATGATGTACAGTTTTAAAGCATTGAAGGTATGATGATGTCGCTACGATTAAAAGAGCAGGATGTATGCGATTATTCAATTTCTAAAGAAATTTTAGTGGTGCTTTTCTCGAAAAATCGTTTTCTCAACAAGCAAATCTTTCCAGAAGTTAAGAACTTCCATTCAGAGGTAACTTTGAATTTTATGAAGAATTTTATTTTACAAAGATTTTATCGGCTATTCACAGCTTTCTTGATTTTTTCACTGTCTGCCTTGAACATCATATAAATACATATCTTTCCTTGAACTCGTTGATGAATGGGTTAGAAATGTACATCATTGTAAGATAAACTATTGCGCCTAATAAAATTGGTATCGGTAAATCTGGAATATCAATAATCTTGAAATTTTGAACGATAAATGTCGGTATACAAGCCCCAATGATGATGGATAAATAACAGGCAATAACAATATTCAAATTATGAGAATCCGTCACTTTTAACATAAATAGACTGTAAAAGACAAAATCAAAGTCAAGGAAACCACTTGAATACTGCCATGGATCATTTTCATCTTCTTTATCGTTAGTATAATTTAAGAACGTGTATCGCGTTTTCTTTCGACCCTAAGATAAATATTTTCTATAGAATGAGGATATAAAACAGCATAAATATCGTATACCGACACCAACCAAATGGTTGTCCAACCTATCCAATCGGATAACATGTCATACAATATTAATACTTTTAATGATGAAAATAAAATTAAATAAAGTTGTTGCAGCCGAAAGTGATTATGTGTCATGGCTGAATATATTCCAAATAATTCCATAATAGAAAAGATATTGTTACCAAATCGAATGTAAAAGCA